TTAATTATCTAAAATATATCCAAATTATTATATTTTAGACAAATTAATTATTAATGTAGGGTAAATAATAAGGAATTAGGAAAAATGTACTGGTCACAAATGAGGTACGCTTAATGTGACAAGCCTTCCCTTAAAGTCGCATTCAATATCTCGACCTTTATAAAAGTTCAGTTTCAGAGCTTAAAATTCGTCCATTATAATGATATACCTTAAATTAGAGCTAATCTGAACTGGATTGAATGTGCATAATTTTTAGCGAAGTAAGTCTCGCTTCGTTCTCCAACTTATTTTTGTGTCCCTCCTAGTTTGGAACAAATAAGATGATGGTAATTTTCCTCACAACAATATTTTCTCCTCACATGTTCGATAAAAATGATGCCAAGCTATTCACCTAATTGAGCAATAAACAAAGTTAAATAGACCCTTTGGGCTAGAACAATTATGTAACTTGACAATGCAACTTATAAACCATCGTGTAGCGAATAATAAAAATATAGAAAAAAAATCTGTAAAACCCGGTATAATTTGAAATATTAGTTGTTTTAGAAAAATTCACTTTAAAAACTGGCAAAAATATCTGTTTTATGCTAATCTAAATTTTTTGTTGAATTAGTGAAAATAAAATGTGTTAAGAAAACTATGACCATAATTTAATGTTTCAAAGGATCTCATGAAGATTGTTAAAGACAGAAATTTCTATGATAGAAAAAGACGATAGAAGCTTCATGATTGCCAATTCTAGGCAAAATAACTCTCTCATTTAAAACTTCATTGGAACATTAATCTCTGCTAGGATTATTTTCGTCGTTCAAGAAGTTGGTCACTTCCTCATAGTCGTTCTCCTAATTTTTAAATTTTTAAATAGTGCTTTTGCTTAATTTTAATTTTAATGAACCGAATCTTCTACTTTATTTATTGTCTACCCGAGATTTAACTTATACAGTTGGGGCCGTTTTAAAAGCCTTTTAGTCTTATAAAGGCACACAACTAAGCCCAAGAATTGACTCACAAATGTTTGTGTTATGTAATTCAAGTAAACTCACAGGTCTAGTTCGACGTGCCATGCTTGCTACCCGTCGGAGCTTAATTTTAAAATTATAAATTTAACAAAAAAAATTGACTGAATTTCTGATAAAGATAATGAAAGTTGCTTAGTCTAGACATTGGATAAAACATGAAATATTAATTATTGAATAAAGTTAACCCACATTTCTTTGAGGTGCATTCATAATTACTCCTGCATTTCCGAAATGACGTTGATTTCCAATTTGTCCTCGATTTCTAGGATTTAACTCCCTATGTCGATAAACAGCACGTCGAGGTGGGTCGATATTTATTGTCGAATCTCCGTTATGACGTTGATTTTCAACATTTCCAATATCTTCTTCGTTTCCATCATTTAACTCAAGGGGATTATCAACAGTAGCTCGATGTGGTACTGTTGGATTATCGGGAACAGCTGTCCTGTTCTAAATTATTTACATATGTATATAATATTCAAAACAGTGCAATGTGTAAGAGCGCAGTCAAGGTTAAATACTGTAACCTCCTACCAGAGGTGGGTCGGAACAGTCAGAGGTGTCGGAACTCGGAAGAGCCGGAAATCGGACTGGCTCAAAAGTCGGAACTCGGAAATTGGAAATCAAAATTTTGTTTTCGGAAATCGGAAAGAAAAAAACGTCGGAAATCGTAATTCCGACCCACCTCTGCCTCCTACATAGCAGTAATTGTTAGGCTCTTCGATCACCAAGTACAGGTGCTCCACTGAATGAGCTACCGGGACGCTGCTATCACCTATTTTAATAAGTCTCAAATATTTACATTGTGGCCCCCACGCGGAGCATTTTGTTGACCTCTTTCCATTCCTTCAACATTGCTCGAGATGGAGAAAAATAATAAAATAAATAAAATATTTTTTAAAAATATCATATTAAATTTTAACCCTAATTAAGATTTATGATTAAATTTCAAGAAATTTTGTTTTTCGAATGTCTATTAAATGTTGAGGGAAATTTGTAAATATAATTAAAAAAACATAGAGGCGATAAATTTCGAATGAAGGGGGGAGAAGGGATATATCCTAGTCTTTGACGACTTAAAATTGCTCACGAGAATGCATTTCCGGCCAACTATTTATTATTTTAAAAAAGCTATTGCGAAATTTTACATTGATTTTATTTTAAAAATTGTAAATAAATTTTATATAATTTTTGTAATTAATTAAATAAATTAAAATATAATATAGAAATTAAATTATTAAAATTATTGTTTTGAGTTGTCAAAATTTAGTAAAGCAGCTGGGGCTATAGCTATTTTTCTCCTTTAGCTAGTGCAAAAGGTTAATCGGCGACTGGGAACGAACCAGCATCTTCAGTAGACTGGAATGATGTGTTAGCCATTACACCACGCCGCCTACTGCTCAGCCTTAGGAATTAAATAGCTATATGTTTTACAATAAAGAAAAAATATGACTTAACAATATACATTTGGAAATCGTCAATTAAATCCTATGATGTTAAGAAAAATATTTTTAATAGGAAATAATTTAAATTAAAAATATTTTTATTAGAAATACCCATTAAAATAAAGGAGTTTGGAGGGTACTTTATTTTTAAAGAAAACGAATTTGGACAGTCCTTTCTGGACATCCTTTTTATCATTATAATCAGCTGTATATACAAATAAAATAATTTATAAAATATAAAATTATTAAATGAATGCCTTTATTAATTTTTGTCAACTTAAAAAGCCCTGGGTGAAGGCGTTGCTTGACAAGACTCTTGTCGGCATTACCTTTGAAAAAAAAAGAATTGCTTTATTATACAACCTGCCCTTAGAATGCCCTTTAATGTTAATAAAATTTACGCAATTTTTCCTTTTGGCATTAGCCGCTAAAAAAAATTAAGAAATACGTACGCGTGATTGACATCTAAATGCTTGTCATGAGTGAAAGGACAATTTAAAAAGGGCATTTAAACATTATTGTACAAAAACTGCCCTTAAAATTCCCTTCACTAAAATGGAAAAAACTTGATTAAAATGAGAAAAACTTCAAAAAATTCTTCCCAAACCTCGATCTTCAAACTTTCCCTCCCATAAATTATACATATATTCAATCATAAATGAAATTTAAACACTATTTAAAAATAAATCAGTTTAGAAAATCGAGAATCACTTAGAAGAAGACCGGTATCAGGCGGCTTTTCTGATTCTCTTCTCCTTAAGAATTAAATAGCTATATGTATTACAATTTGTAATTGAGTTAGAAACAAATAATCGTCAGCTTGCAGACTTTTTTAACAAAAATATGCACGAATATTTAATCATAAACTTCTCAAGTAAGTGTTGAGATAAAAACACTGCATTACAAAATGATCATTCAGAAAATAACTTCGGATATGTTTCAAAATCTGAGGTGATATTATAAAAAGAGGTTAGGAGAACCTGCTAAACCTACCAGGTTCTCTTACCCAGATAATAGAATCCCGAGCCGTTGTTTAAGCATTTTTCCTTTGTTTGTTGCTGGTAAGGCTCAGGGTTCCTAGGGTCGAAATTTAGAAGAACAAGACCAGAAAACCAGAAAAGTAACAAATTTATATTGTATTTCATCTGATTTATTAGTTGATAATTCTAATAATATTATATTTTTAGAACTTTTTAAATTTGGCAAAGAAAAAAATTCAAAGAGAAAAGTTTTTGAATATTTTTTTGTATTTTTAAATTTGTTTGAAACTTATGTTTTAAATATCGAGAATAGTTGAGTCAAAATATTTTTGAATTTGCAAAAATTCTATTTTTCTTTTAAATTTATCGAGTAAACTACATATCATTTTAAAGAGACTACAAGTTGTAAAATTAAAATAATTGTCTTTAATCCATAATAAATGATATGGCTCTAGTGCAGGTAATGTATGCGATGTTTGAATCCCATGATAATTTATGAAAAGATATACGTTTTTTGTTAAACCAAAATGAATTGAAGTTCACCATTATCGAGCTTAGAGGCCTAGGTTAAGGCAAAATATTTTCACAATTGTTTTTTCAAATTATTTTTTACGGATGTAAATGCGCACATAGGCAGTGATGGAAAAGTTCCAAAATTTCTCTGAAACCGGCTCCAACGCAGTTCCAGTTCCAAAAATTTTTGAGCTATTTTAAATTACCTATAATCTATTTTAGATTCCAGTTCCGGAACTGGAACTGAAACTTTTCCATCACTGCTTATAGAACGCATACATTTTTATACATAGGACAAATACAACGTTCTGGGTCCTGCACTTAAGCCAATGGTAGATACTACAGTGTGACAAAAAAGTAACCGGGCACTTTTCTATCCTTTATAACTTTTTTTTTGTTCATATCAATTTTAGATAATTCTAAGTCTATTCTAATGTTATAAACAAAATTTCTGAAAAAAGGCGCGACCTGGAGCGATAATTTTTCCCACTTTTCTTGAACCTTATCTCAAAGTAGAATAGGGAAAATTCTAAAAGATTTTTTTATTTTATTCTCCATTTAGTTCTCTATAATTTCATCATTATTTGATCTCATTATTTTTAATTTGAATAAAGTTATGCCAAAAATAAAGTGCCCGGCTACTTTTTTGTCACCCTGTACAAAATAGAAAAACTACAAATCTTGGGTTTAAATAAAAAAATCAGAATTAATATAATCCAAAAATAATCAAATAATCACCAAATCCATCAAAACCTCAACATTCTTCAACATCATTTAATTGTTAGTATAAAAATATACTCCAGGAATTATATTCAAATGCCCCTGAGTTTTATCAAGCACGTGATTGCGCACTCCTTTCAAAGCCACTCCAATCATATTCTTTAAACCCAGCCCTTCGCCCGACATATTAAACTCCTTAATCTTCATAATTCCTTTCTCAACGCTATATCGGCCTAAAATATTGCTCAAATATTTAAGAATAAATTTTGCTTCAAAGGGTGAGGGGTAGGCACACTACTTTATCAAAGGCGGTTAACCCGCGCTTAATTTTTAGAATTTCCAAGTGTAAACTTGCCTGTGCCTAATCCGCTTCCAGTAAAGAAATGGGCACTTGTGTTTGCATCACCTACAGCTACAACAATTGCTGAATCATTTTTTGAATAGTATTCTTTTGCTGCATTGGCTACCCCTTTAATTTGTATCCAAAATGTAGTTGAACTCAAAATTTTAAAATGAAATTGTCCTTGATTTCCTTCATCATCCTCATCATTTTCCGCCGTTTTAATTATTAATTGATCAAGATTATAATGATACAAAGTTAATAAATATTTAAAAACAGCAATAGCCCATTTGTTCTCCAATTCTTTAACAAATTCCTCATATTCCCACTTGTTGTGCTTCCGATTACCTTCCGTTTTAACCTCTTCAATAAATTTGGAAAGAGCACGGGGTGTTATTGAGCCAATAGTCATTCTTTGTTTTAACTCAAAAATGTGTAAAAGGAGCATCTCTGGATCACCACTGTTATTTGCTGGTACTAAACGTCCATAACCGTCTTCGGCCATTCCAAAAAGAATCAAGTTTATTATATTGTCGTAACGTTCTTTTAGTTGATCAGAAATGACATGAGAGTTTATAATAAATTGATAAATCTCTTTAGTTTCTTGAACATTCAGCATATTAACCATTGGTTCAAGTTTAAGTGTATAATCACCTTCGGTGATATGTATATTGTGGTCTCCTTTGTCGATGATAATTAACCCATAATTTTCGGAGTCAGTTAGTACTTGTGGTTCTTCTTAAAAGTATTTTAAAATAGAATTATTAGTGACAGGCAATATTGTGTTTACGGAATCGTGAATTCGGTATTTGTTTCTAAGAATTTTTGCGGGGAGGATCCCGCGGGATAGATCTATTTCGGAATTTTCTTAAATATTTGAGGATATAGAGTAATCAAACTACTATTAGAAACTACTATTAGATACATACTACTATTAGATTAGTATTGTGGAGATTATAATGCTACAAATACAAATTGGAACAGCTCATCGAGCTAATCTATATTCATCGAGCTAACATATACTCATTAAGACATTCATACTAAATTAAGCAATTTTAATTTTATTTTTTATTGTGGTGCTTTTACAGTTCATGAAAAGAGCTGCTGACCACTTTACTCCACTTCAATCAGAAATAAATTACAATTCATACACGTAATTAGTTTATAAGGTTTTTTCCCTTAAATATGATAAACATTGACATTTATTATGTTTTCATGCATTGATGTTTCATGCCCTGTCAGCGATAAATATTATTATATATTTCGAGTGTGCCAGTAAAAACAATATTAGAAATTTATTACCTAAAAGTTCATCTCTTATTCGGTCATTTGCACCGCCAGCACAGAAAAACAAATCGAAAGGAATTCCTACATAATTCCTTGGAACTCCATAATCCAATGGCACTCCCTTTATATTTTTTATCTCAAAAGCATTCCCATTAATTTGGAGTTCAACATATTGCTCAGCGGTAATGTGATTTACTTCATCGTCTCTATCTCTCATATACGGAATTAACTCATTACCAAAAAGATTTTTTAACTCCCTAATTTTTTTGTTTACAATCCTTTTACGTGCCATTCTCCGATTTATATTATATTTCATCATTAATTTATTCTCCAGATTTCTGTAAACCTTTTTTGCAGCTTTGTTGACCTGTCTCTCAGGAGCACCAAGAACTGCTAAAGGTTTATCATGATCCAAATCAATGCCAAAAATTGCTGTCTCATATATTAATTTCAGGAAGGACCTTCCTTCTTCCTGTTGATTCTCCTCTCTAGCATCAACATATAAAGCAAAAGCTTTCAATCGGTTCATTAAAACAGTTTCAAGATTTTTTATAATAACTAAACCAACATGATTATCAAGCAATTTACCCATTGAATTTTCTCCGCTAAAAAGTTTGTCGAATTTTGTACCCAAAATCAAACGTAGTTGACATATCCATTTGCGGTCCAGAAGGATGATTTGTTCGCGTGTATAATGCTCAGAACGATCATTTACAACGGTAACATTAATTCCTTCTATAAGTTGGAATTATTATTAGAATCCTATCTCAATACATAGTATTCATATAATAGACAGGCCTCAATATTAGCTATATTATTTAAATGTTGATTGGACAATGCATGGGGATAGCTGCTTTACAGATAACACATTTTTTGGCCACAAGTGGATATCTCAAAACGAGATCCGACTCAATTTGAAATTGTCTAAGTAGGGCTCTCTGTATAGTCCGATTAGAAAATTTGACTCGAGATAATGAGCTAAGCCTATACTTACTGTCACACAGAAGAATGACGGAAGCATGCATATGAGAGTTAATCGGTATTCTCAGATGATGGTTGGTGATCGCTGGGAAATTTTTGGATATCCGGAATCAATAACCGAACTAAAAACTTCCTGATACTTGAACCTTTTCGGCTCCGGATATCTGGAACCACAAACCCTATCCCAGATTAATTTATTTTCCTTAGATGTAGCTAGGAAAACGTTATTTACGTACCAATAAAAAGCTTAAAGGAAGTGTACAATCCAATTGGACCAGCTCCTTCAACAACGGCATCATTATATCCTCTCGAATTACTTTTATTTTTCTTGTGGTCCTCATAAAATTTTTCATTAATGGCTTTATCTAATTCATTGCTTTGAATACTTGACAAATCAAAAATAAATTTTAAATTCTTCAATTCCGGATGTTTTTCCATAAAAGAAAATATATCAATAAAAGACCCTTCTGCTCCCTCAGAGTTTAGATCACTAATAAATACTTTACATTGAAGAATCACATCTATTCTGGACTTGTAGTATTCGATTAAATTTGCATGATCTGTTATATCTAGAATAAAATAATTAAACAAATGTATCTGGGATCAGAGATAAGAGAGGTGAAGGCGGAGATGAATTTGATGTTGGAATTGATGAAGGGATAAGGGACTGGCCGGGCCTTAGACTGATGCTGCCACTGGATTTTATACTATCATAAACAGGCAGTTTATGTAGTAACATTACTACCAGTGATGGGAAAGTTCCAAAATTTCTCTGGAACCGGTTCCAGTTCCAAACCGGTTCCAAGCATCTATCGGTTTCACGGTTCCGGTTCCAAACCGGTTCCAAGCATCTATCGGTTCCACGGTTCCGGTTCCAAACCGATTCCGGACCTTTGTCGGTTCCACGGTTCCAGTTCCAAACCGGTTCCAGAGTCGGTTCCGGAACTGGAACTTTTCCGTCACTGATTACTACCCAATTACTATCTGAACAAATAATTCCTAATTTATTGAGTGTCAGAGGATTTTACTCAAATGATAAAGAATTGTTACATAGCAATATTTACCTATTTCGCTATTACTAATCAACTCCTCGTATTTTTTAACGTCTTCAACGAATTCAGTAAAATCTTCATTTGATTCATCTATTTTACTTTCCTCAACAAATGATTTAACCTTTATTATTAACATCTCAATGACATGCTTAAACTTTTCTATTGTATTTTTATATCGTTCAAGAATGCCTGCACTAGATAAATGCGAAGCAAAAATGTTGTTATTTGTTTCATCGAAATTATCCATTAATAGGAATTCATCGTAGAGTACAACATCGTTAGCCTGTGTGCTACCGCCAGACTCGGCAATTTTAATTAAATCTTTGGCGCGGGCTTTGAATAAAAATTAATAAAAATATCATTTTTAAAAGTATTCAGTTTAGAATACTGGAATTTTAAACTAAAAAGCAGGTTAAATAGCGTTATGCATTTGACTCTTGCATGGCTTATAACCTGCCCATTCTCTTAAATCACATACCGTATTTTCTCGATTAATTCCCCTGGGGAATTATTTTTTCAACCCTTCCTTGGCATGGGGAATTAATCGAGGGAGGGGAATTAATCGAGAAAATACGGTACTCGACATACAAATTTCCAAGTTAGTTTGATATGGTTGAAAATCGTTGTTGTCAAACGCAACAATTCCTTCAAACAATGAAAAAAGAAAATAAATAATTAATAGACAATTAATTTGTTTAAGAAAATTTTTTTCTTTGTAAATCATTGTCTATTTTTTGTGAAGATTTGAAAAAGTAAATCTTCTTGAATAAGAATTATTTATCTTTAATAAATAATTATTTAAGCAATAACTCTCAAAGAAATCTAACTTAAAAGTGCTAAATAAATGGGCTAAGGAGTGACTTTTAAGGTTCAAGAAATATCGGCGTCCTTAATTTATTCAGAAATATTATCCAAAAACTAAGCTGTGGAAGGTCAGAAATGGCGTGCTTCTGCTGAAAATAAAAGGGATGATAGTATCCGACTTGAAAAAATTATCAGGCTTACATATAAAACCTAACCCCGTTCAGTTATTATTATGGCTTCAAGTTTTACCAGGGGAAGTAAACCAATTTTCAGCTGCAGGTTTTGCGCCGCATTTACCGCGACGCAAGCATTCACAAATAAAAAGTAATGGCTGAGACTAAAGCTGAAACTAAAAAAATTTTCACGCATATCTACCGTATACCTTCTCCCTGTTCTTATCTTCCAAATTGTTTCCACAGCCTTGATTTTCCCTATTTTTCGGCGCTACCCGATTTCTTGAATACCGCCCGGGTAATAACTTTATTTATGTTTCGGTTTTTAAATAAAAACAGGTTTACGGGTCCGTTAAACTAGTTTGAGCAACCATAATTTCCAAGGCGGAATATTCACTTAAACAAAGACTCAGGCCAATACTTGGCCCTGAAATAAGAAATAAAATTTATGTTTAAAATAAATTTTATTTAATAAATTTAGAAAATAAATTATATAAATTTAGAAATATAAAAAATAAATTAGCTATCCAATAAAAAATTTCCCTCTCCCTATAAAATTTTCCCCTCTCCCTATTAAGTAAATAAAAATGAGTAAATAAAAAATCTATCATTTCTTTCTATGGATTTATTTTTTTCTCTACACTCCCCTAAGAAAAATTTTTTAAAAAAAATTATAGGGATGTCAGCAGGTTATTGGCGCGGCGGAAATCGATTTTAAGTAAATTTTTTATCGAATTTTTTAAATATTTTATGTAAAAAATTAAATTAATTTAAAATTAAAATAAAAATTTAAAAGATTTAAGTTCTAGGAATCTGAGATTCTTGCAAATTTATGTTCTTGAAACGGTAATATTGAAGAGTATGGGCCCCATTTTTCCTCCCTATTTTTCCCCTACATTTTTACAAAATGGTCAGACTTTTTCCTTCCTTCCATCCAACTTGCCTTTATAATTTTTGCCTTGAAACAAAGAAAAAGGATTATTTTTTGTTATTTAACAAGTATGAGTTTTGAGAAGACTCATTTTCTCTATTAAAACGGGGAATAAAATATCAAAAATAATCCTTTTTCTTTGTTTCAAGGCAAAAATTATAAAGGCAAGTTGGATGGAAGGAAAGAAAAAGTTTGTAAAATATAGGGGGAAAAATAGGGAGGAAAAATGGGGCCCATACTCTTCAATATTACCCTTGAAACTCTCGGTTCTAGATGGTTACCTGCCTAGAAGGTGTACGTTTCGCCTATTTTAATGATCAAGCATTCTTTCATTCTGCTCTTTATTAATGGAAAAGTTTTTTTCTTTATGTATAAAGTATATTTATCAATCCGGACATTCTTGAATTATTTTTTGGTGATTCTCCGTTGAAATTCCACACAAAATATTTTTAACTATATAATAAAAACCACTGCTGTTTTCCTAAAGGACTTGAATTTATGTACAATCACGTTGTTATTCATGGATGTAAAGGCTTACACTATGAAGATTCTGGCCGTAAAATGGTTGGAAAAATGGTAAAAGATGAAGAACGGTATTTCCAAAGATTTTCATTAAAGGTGGATGAAGGAAAGAATTTTGTAAGGTAGTGGGTAGGGTTAGGGGAACAACAATGGGGGCCCGATCCGGCCCAATCCGAAAAATCGAGTCGGGCATTGAATTTTGGCCCGAAAAAGGCTCGGTCGGGCCGGCCCAATAAAAATGAGGCCCGAAAAGGATGACTCGAACGTCGGCCCGACTAGAAAACCCCAACCCTAGTAGTGGGGTATGAATTGTTTGAAGTAGATAATCCACTAGAAGACGCAATGTTGTATTTATGTTTCCGTATTGGATCTAAGAAAGCATTTTATTACGAAACTATAGGAACTTTTGTTTGATTTTTGACAAATATAATGGTTAAATTTTTTGTGTTAATCATATTGTTCGATATTGTTTATTTATAGTGAACGCAAAAAGCTAAAATTTTATCAAGTATAAAGTCCAAAAAATGAAAATTTATCCCTTTATTTGACATGTAGTTAAATAATTAAATTTCTGAAGGCCAGCCTCAGAAATCCTCCTTTTTATAAAAAATACAAGAAAAATCATAAATTTTAAAACAATTCAGAAAATAAAGTCAACAGTCGAATGATTAAATTAAATGATTAAATCATCATTTAAATTCTATTTATACGATTCATTTCGTTCTTAATTTTTATCGTTCTCTTATTTTTTCTTTGTTGTTTCAGTCCACAAGCATTACATAAATAGTGTTCTGGTATTGAATGACGACGCCAACGTGGTGCTTTTTTAGTTCCGCAAATAAAACAATTTACATCCTGAGGTATCGGCTAAAATATTTATAAAACTAGATCAAGAATTTTTTAGTATAATTTATCAAAATTTTTTTTGCTAAGACCGACTTTTACACGACCGAGTTTTGTCTGGACCGTGTTTTGGACACCCTCATCATAGAATGTTAATTTTTAAAGATATATATTAGATACTCGGGAGTACAGAACCATTATAACATAACTCGGTCCAAAATTGGTTAGTGTCTTTTTATTTAATAAAAATAAATAAAATGACACCTTCCCAATCTGACTGCATTATTTAAATAAAATTAATCCATGGCCATTTTTAATCATTTACTGTTTATTTTAATCTTTATGAGAAGATAAGAAAAAAATTAGTGGACTCACATTTGCGGAAATTTGGCTGTAAA